CTAGGACAGCAATCCTCTTTGTATTACATAAGGAGGGCAATCCAGATTGGGCCCATTCCAGGGTACCCTGTAGCCTTCAGCCCTTACCAGCTAGGAAGCTTTTCTGAAGTGTGGCTGAGGCTTGAGAACAGAGGGCAGCTTCAGAAGCAATGATATTCTTGTGTCCTCCCTTTCTACATCCTCATTTTCTTCTATATTTCAAGGAAGTGGACACTCAGAGAACAGATGCCCTACCCTGGCCAACCCATGCCAAAGCAAGTGCTTTCAGGAGAAAGGCAGCTTGGGATAGGCTGTTCAGACTTTAGGCTTCAGCTCCCAAATCCCTTTCTAACCCTGCCACTTTATATGAGAAGTCATCCTCACTATTTGGGACTCCTGGAGTGGTATATAAAGCAGATGATTATCTGTAGGTCACTGAGGCCTACTTAAAGAGACTACACACGAGTTCCTAAAAAGTGTCTTATGGATGAAGTGAAGTGAAGTCGCTCAGTTGTGTCCGACTCTTTGCGACCCCATGGAATGTAGCTTACCAGGATCCTCAGTCCATGGGATTTTCCAGGCAAGAATACTGGAGTGGGTTGCCATTTCCTTCTCCAGGGGATCTGCCCGACCTGTAAAGAGTATATTACCAATGCAACTAGACCTCAGTAATTCAAAACTATCCAGGGCTAATATTCACCTGAAACGTTTACTGAAGTAAACAAACACTAGTTATTTGAACTCAGCTACCAAGGTGTTGATAATTAGCAGTCTTAAAATCACTGATGTAGGATGTAAATACTGCTAGACTAAGATTTAATTAGCCTGGGTTATAGTTCAGATGTCATCAAATAATAAATGTGTGAACCTGTGCTTTTCTATCAATTTATTGAAAATACCTTTGAATGGTTTAGAAAGAGATGTTGAGTAACTTGCATAGGTCATATGGCTAGGAAGTGACAGAGCCAGCATTGTCCAGATCCAGAATTCATAGCCATTCTGATATACTATCACCTCCTTATGCTTAGAATGTTCATATGGGGATTAGAATAAAGTATCTCAGGGAGCAGGACCTACTCTGATAATTCTTTTCCAACTTTATTTGCAACTAGCCTCAAACCCTGCCTGCAGAAAATTCCTTAAGACATTTTTGAGTAGTCATGGAAGGGGAGGAGAAACTGTTGAATGAGAAATCTCCCTGAATGGAGATACCCTCTAGGAAGGGAGGACAAGACTGTGGGGTCCTTGTCTAAATGTGAAGGGTACTTGCACGTTGGTCTAGATTGTTGGTATTGGAGAGTTTAGGGACAGTAATCCTGGGGCTATGAGAATTGCCTTGAAGTCCACATTTGTCAGTCCAGCTCAACATTTCCTTGGATTGTAATGCTTATTTGTGATACGTTTACTGAAATTGATGAAGACAAGGGCAGGAAAAGGCTTCTATAACTGCCCATTCTCTCCATAAGAGGGTGCTCCTGTATGCTCAATCCCTCAGTCCTGTTTGACTCCTTGAGACCCTATGGACCCTGCCAGGCTTCTCTGTCCATGGGATTTCCCAGGCAAAAATACTGGAGTGAGTTGCCATTTCCTTCTCCAGGGGATCTTCCCAACCCAGGGATCGAACCTGTGTTTCCTGCATTGCTGGTAGTCTCTTGTATCCCAAATGGATTCTTTACCAGCCACCAAGGAAATCCTGAACATGCATATATTCTCAATGCTTTTTCCCCAGCACAAATCCCAGTCATGGATCAAAGGGGACTCTGGATTGCATTGTACATATAGGATACTGAGTCCATATTTAACCAACACCCATTCTGCAAGCCCCACCTTGGCCAAAACTTCAATACCTGGTGGGTATCAATAGCCCAAAGAGTCTGCAAATGAACTCAGACTGTACCATTTTACAAATTAATTTACAGAGATAAGAAGGGTATTTTGTCCAGTGTTCTAAAGGTTTGGTGATTGTGTTTAATATTTCAGAGTAATTAAAACATCTTTTGTAAATATTATTTGCCTGACACTCATTTCTACCCCTAAGTGTGTCCCCTAAGGGGTGCTAATTCTAATTTGTTACTTGAATAAAGGAGAACATCCAGGCCTTTCATGACCTTCAAAGGAATGGCTGTAGTTACTAAGATACTATACCTTTTCCCTTATCATTGGCATGTGTTCTGTACAAGCCTCACCTTTGTTACTTCTGGGAGACTACATGTGGCATCTGTGACACAGAAGCTATTTTTCACTTCTGTTTTTGCATCCCTAGCTCCCCTGGGCAAGGCAGGAGCTCTATCAGATCATTGTTGTTTCAGGGTTACCAAAAAAAAGAAAAAAAAGCCAACACTTCCAGAGGCTCAGAAATGGTGATGTTTGATGCTCCCTAGGTAAAAGCCAGCAGATAAGGCTGGAAGCTTGCAGAAGAGAATGAAGTGGGGAAGACTCATAGGACAGAGTAGGGAGACTGGACAGAAATGCAAATTCTACCCCTACAGCTCTCATGAAGCCTGAGTGATGGAACAAAGAAGAGCCTGGAGAAATTTCAGCCTCACTTTCATCCTCCTTTGGAGAGCTGTTGTCTTAAGCCCCTCCCAGCCTGGCATATAGCCATTCCTTGTTTTTTTGAGAGTCAATAAATTTGAGTAAGGACATAGCAAAGGCTTATGATGCTATGCACTGTAAACAGTATGCGTTATAGCCAAAGGCAGCCTCTAATCCAAGCTCTCATTGATTGGCTGTGTGACCTTGGGCACATTACCTAAGCCTCAGTTTCCCATGGTATCAAATGGGACTATTAAAACGCTTATTGGAGAACTGGTGGTGAGATTGGAGCTAAAGAAAATGAAACCAGCACAATGCCTGGCATAAATTTAGTATTAAAAAAGTTGGCAGCTTTACATTAGGGTTGGTCCATACTCTACACCTTCCCCTTGACAGGTTTCTCTCTACTGGTGCCCCCAGAAGAACTGATGTACTTGAGGATCCAGGAGTTTAACAATTTCCCAAAATATCAGAGCAAGAAAAGCTTGGGACTTATCAGCTTGCCCCCTTCCCCCACCCCACAAGCATGTACAAATTAAGGGTCCGAGGAGACTGAAGAATGAGGGGCTCTCAGTTTAGCTTGGAAGTCATATACTATTTCAAGGTCCCAGATTTTTAATTGAATATTCTCCTGCCTCACAACTCCACCTCCGTCCTATTTTAAAGAACCCCTTTAGTTCTCCAGTTACACATTTTCTTGTCACTGGAAATTCCTCCCTTAGCCTTTAGTTTCCCTGGGAATGCAACGATAGGGAAGATGTCTGAGACTAGCTGGGGCGCTGTCGTCCAGGCAACCTCGGAGTGAGCCTGCGCAGTGACTTCCCCAAGTAGGCAGCTCGTTTGCCTTCTGCACTGCTGCTGGACTTGGGGCTGAAAGAGTGTAACTCCCCTCTTCCTGTCCCCTCTCCCCCGTTAGACGAGTATGTTGTTCTCTTCTTGAGACTGACAAAAATGTGTGGAAAGTCCTCTCTTCTATCTGATAGGAGGTGGCAGTTGAGGATAGCCTCTAGTGATTAAATGGATCAAAGGGCAGAAAGCTTATGGATGCCAGGAGGAGAAGAAGCATAAAACCTACACCACTGATAGGCAGCCCCCTTCTTCCCTCACAACCTTGCATTAGAGGTGACTTTAGGTACAATATACTACTAAGCCAGGGCTCCCTTACAGGAATTATTAGCTGCTGCTTCCAGCTCTCTAGGGAAGAGCTGTGAGCAGGGTTAGAAGCTGCGAGATCCCGATCTGGATGAAGAGAACTAAAATATTAACACTCACCTTAACGGCTTGAGTGCAGAAATAAACAGTGTAGCCGAGGTTGCCATTCAGAGTTCCTCCACGTGGACTGTTAGGTCTGATGGAAATCCAAGACTAGCTGCCTTCAGGAGAAACATTGTTGATTTCTAAGACCCACTCTCTGAGAATATAAATCTTTGTTATCTCTTCCATAGGCTTATCTCTTTCACTCTGCTCTTAACTTGAATTCAACATTGTTTTCCTGAGCTTTATGTAAATCCCACGAAGCAATTTTACATACTGCCCCTGACTTCATGGACTAGCCCTCCTTCCCTCCCTCTTCCCAACCTCAGGTCTTACAATAGAAGTCACTAAAGTTTAACTTGTGTCTAGTCCTGCATACCACCTCATCCTCCCCTGCCACCACCTCTGACCACTCCTCCATTTGTATGACACCCCTACCCCTTCACTGTCCTCTCCCACAACTTGCAGTTTAGTTGGGAGTTACTCCTGCAAACTCTCATAGATCTCTGAGCTTACCCCTATTATACCACTTGCCACAGCAATAATGTAATTGTTGGTTTACTTTCACAGACCCTCCCCCTTAAGCCCTGGGGCTTAACTGGGTCTTCCTCACCCTTATATTTCCAGCATAAAGCCCTGTGCTTACAGCATGACAGATACTTAATAAATGTTTGTTGAATAAAATAGTACTTAAGCATGGAGCCTAATTCATTAAACTTTTATTTTTCACTACACTCTGGAACCACAAAGCAAATACAGGTAAATGCCAGTAATTTTTAAAAAATAAAACAGTAGACACGATGGGAGAACATCAACAGACCAATGATTTTGTGTTTGTTTTTCTTGTGTGTATATTATCACTGTTGTTACTTAATTCCTGTATGGGACCATTTCATTATTTCAAATGGTTAAAGAAAAGCTATATATTTTCTTCCACATCATAGAAAGATGTAAATATTACCAATACATTTTATGCAGACATATGAACTTTTATAATGAAACAAGACAGGAATGACAAATGAGCAATTCTATTTTTAAACACTGATCATGAATCTAATTCAGGGTAAATTAAAAGGAAGAGAATACTATTAGAAATGGAACACTAATAGCAAGCACAAAGTGTACTTTTCACCCCAACCCTGCCCAATTTCTGATTTGTGGCCCCAGTACCCATTTCCCCAGGCCCCTTTAATTGATGCCACCTAACTAAAGTGACACACTTCCCTCAGACTTCACATGGGGCCAAAGAAGAACATGGCAGTTGCCTCAGATCTGGCTCTGGCCTCCTCATCTTCAGCAGCCTCCCTATATTGCTCTGGCCAGTCTTGTGGTTGCTTTCTGTAGAGCCTGGCCATGTACTCCAGGGCTTTCATTTTGGTGGTTTCAAGGTGAGCTCGAGGACCCCATAGAAGCTCATATTCAACTGGATTAGAATAGGAGAGTGGCCTGCATTCCAAGTAGCGCTGTCTCATAAGTTTGCAGGTGATGGCATGCTTTCTCCCTACATCCACACCAAATCTCCGAAGCAAATTCCAGACTTTGGCCTCTTTGACACGGTTGCCCATCAGGAAGATCAAACCCAGGATTGGCATCACATATTCTTGAGTGGGTCTCCCCAGGCTCTCTAGCATCATTTGCTCTTCTTCTGATTCTGGTTGCTGGACAAGGAGGTAAATGTGTTCACTGGTATCAACCTCAATCAGAGAGAACCCATAGAACAGATCAAGTATTAGAGTAGCTCGACTGAGGATATTTGGAAACACATCCTCAAATTCTTTGCCAGTGTGAGCCAATAGCTCATCCTGATGTATAGGTAGCAACTCCTCTGTGACATTAATGGCCAACTGGACCAAATCATTTGCCTTATCATTCATAATGTCTTCTGACCAGAACTCTAAGCCAGCAGCCTGGCTTCTTTCTTTGGCCTTGTCAGCTTCTAGGGCCTTATTATATTCTTCTGGCCAGCTCCAGGGTTCTTCATCATGGGCCTCTGCCACAAACTTCAGGGCTTCCATCTTTGTGATTTCTTTGTGGGCTCTAGAACCCCACAAGAACTCAAATTCGAGAGGATTAGTGCCATAAACTGGCCAGTACTCCAAGAATCGCATACGTACAAAGTCAGTAGTTAGGAGGTTCCTTGTGTTCCCAAAGGGGATGTTGATCCTCTGGGGCTCACCTAACACATCAACCTTTAACAACAGATCCCAAATGGAGGTCTCTCTTGCTCGGTTACCATTTAGGAGGATGTGACCTAGGACCAAGGCCAGGAGACCTGCCTTTGGCATGTCCAGGGATTCTGCTATCCGATCATTGGTCTGGAGACCCCGTTTGCTGATTAGGTTGTAGGTGTCAGCTTGGGGATCAAGAACCCTCAGATTCAACCCAAAGACCCGATCCAGATGGGCTGAGGCTCGTCTGAGGATCTCAGGGAACTGATCTGAGTATTCTTTGAGGAACTCCAGCATCTCTGTCTGCTGAATAGACCCCTCGATTTGGCTTTTCATGCGCATGAAATTCACCAAAGCAATCGACCTGTCTTCTAGAGGATCGTGCACCCTGAGCGCCCCCAAACGTCGGGACTGCTCATCAATCAGCACATCGAGGTCTTTCGGGTCCTGCGCAGCCTGGGAAGCGCTGGCAACCTGAGGGTCGACCGGCGCCTGAGGGCCCTGGGGGGCATCAGGAACTATCATGGAGGCGGGGAGCCCAGAGACATCAGTAGCCTGCATCTCACCTTGGAAGTCGCTGTAATCTGCAGTGGTCTCTGCGCTGCGGTGGCACGCATTCTTGCTTACCAGAGACATGGTTCCAGGAGACAGGAACGGGGAGGTCTGCGATCCGTCAGAGAGAGGATGGTAGGTGTGTTGGCGCCTCAGCACAAAGCCAAAGCCAGAGGCCCGGGAGCTGGGCGGGTCAGAAGTGACAGCTGGTGAGAGGAGCTGTCTTCCTACACAAACACCAGCCAGCAATGACCGCAAACCTCACAGAGCTAGGTTTTGCCGCAGCCTACGCAGGCGCAGTCTGGTCCTGCGATGTCTTGGCCACGCCCCGCTCTAAGTCCCCCACTCCCGCCCCCTACTTCTGCCTGGCCCAAGCTGCTGTAGGAGTGGTTCCTGCTACAGTCAAACTTGTTAGAGAGAATTCATGAAAGGGGGTAATAAACAGAGGTAAAGCAAAAGGGTAAGGGGCAAAGGATGTTCAATGAAGCACCACAAAGTTTTTCTGTGAGGTGTAGGGCTAATAGGCAGTAGAGGATTTGGAGGGGAGGATACTGAAGATGAGAATAATTTCACAGACTCATTAATTCATCCACTCATTCAGCATATATTTCTTGAGTATGTGTCACATGCTAGGCACAGTACTGGGTACTAGGGGTACACCAGAGTATAAATGTAATGATTATCCCTTTCTGTGTAGAGCTTACATTCTGGAGTAGGATCAAACAATGGTAATAAATAGTGGAGCACTTGCTGTGTGCCAGACACTATTTCTGGTGTTTTCACTTATCTCTTTGAATCACTTAATCTTAACTATGAGGTAGCTACTCTTAATGGTTCTCATTTTACAGACAAGGAAACTGAGTCAGAGAGGTGAATTTACCTGTCCAAAGTCAGGCAAAAACAAGTGGAAGAGATCAGGATTTGAACCTGTCTGCCAGGGTCTCAATAAAAGTACTTTCTCTCATACCATCTGCTCATCACAGATGATCGCTGCTGCTAAGTCGCGTCAGTCGTGTCCGACTCTTAGCGACCCCATGGACTGCAGCCTACCAGGCTCCTCCGTCCATGGGATTTTCTAGGCAAGAGTACTGGAGTGGGTTGCCCGTGCCTTCTCTGTCACAGATGATTAATCCTGTTTATTTAAGGCACTCGTAATTAAAGTAGTTGAAAATATATGCTCTGATGGAGGGACAGTTAATATAGGGTACAAACACAGAAGAAGAAACAAGCAATGAATTACAGCTTAGTCTGAAGTGTCTTGGATTGGGGACACATGCCTCAAGAAGGAACTGAGCTCCAAGTGATGAATAGGATGGGAAGGATTTATAAGGGCTTTCTAGGCTGAGGGATCAGCATCAGAAAAGGCTCAGAGGTATGAAAGTACAAAAGTTTGCATAACACTGGTCATTCAGGGTGGCTAGAGCCATAGTGCACTAGGAGGGGAGGGAGATGAGGATGAAGGTGATAAGACAGAACTGATTGGATTTTCTGTTTCTTCATTCAGCAGTTGGGGCTCCATGAGGTGAGAACAGCAACTCCAGAATAGGACCTGATTATTCAGGTGTTTGGTCATGTGTTTGCTGCTGTTGCTGCTGCTAAGTCGCTTCAGTCATGTCCGACTATGTGCGACCATAGACGGCAGCCCACCAGGCTCCGCCGTCCCTGGGATTCTCCAGGGACGGCAGCCCACCAGGCTCCGCCGTCCCTGGGATTCTCCAGGCAAGAACACTGGAGTGGGTTTCCATTTCCTTCTCCAATGCGTGAAAGTGAAGTCGCTCAGTCGTGTCCGACCCCATGGACTGCAGCCTACCAGGCTCCTCTGTCCATGGGATTTTCCAGGCAATAGTACTGGAGGGGGTGCCATTGCCTTCTCCCGGTCATGTGTTTAGGGAGGCATAATTCAAACATTTTGACTAGGAAGAGGGGTCAGCTGTTTTATATTCTGGGACTGCTACCAAAGTAATTGAGCTAAATCCTAGCTCTCAACCATCAGAGTATGCAGTAGAATATTGAGAAGGAGAAAAATTTTCATTTTTCTGCAGCCACAATTGAAATCCCTCCTAAAATTCTTGATAGTAATGTTGAATTCAGTTATCTTGTGCCCTGAAATTCCTTCAGAGGGCACTACCTTCACATGAGGGGCCAGACACTTAAACCTGATATTTTCTACATTCCAGATGCTTTCTTAAAGTAGCAAAGCAGGTAGCTCAGGAGCAAGCTGGACTAAAGACATAAATTTTTATAGACATGAATGTGCATGTTCTACCAGGTAGAAATGTTCAGTTTCTGTGCTAATCGTATATTCGGAGAATCTTCTGGAAAGCTGCAGCATCTTTTGAACTGTTGCAAAGGTGTAATTGAGATCATATCTGATGAAATCCCTCATCCTGGTCTTTCCCCTTCCCCAGAAGGACTCCAAGCTCCTTGTCTAGACAGGTACTGCTCAGGGGTAAGTTCAGAGAGGGTTTTAAATTCTGCAGTCATTAAAAAAAAATGTAATTTCCCCCTGAAGTCCAGCTCACATTTTTTTTTTTTGGTGAGTTGAATTTTCTACTACCTCTGTATCTAATAGACAAAAATAGCATTGAGTGACAATATCTTACCTGTGAAATGACATGCTGATCTCATTCTACAGCATTCAAATTCTTCACCAATTGGTTCCTACCTGTCTCTCCATTTTCATCTTTATTCCCTCTAGCACATCCTTCCATGAAATCTGTTCCTTAGCCACACAAAACTACACTCCTGGTCTCAGCCATTTCTACTTTACCTGTCTCCAAATAGTTCTAGTTCTTGCTAAACGAAAAATGAAGGAGCTGTGCTTGTGACTGTGACCTATGCCATGTTTTCCATTCTAAATGTGAATGTAAAAAGATGGGATTATACTCTCTATTCTGAAATTCTTTTGATATTTTCTGACCTTTATTGCATTTAAAAAGTGTGTGAATATCTTTCCATACAATCATTTGTCTTCCACATAATTTTAATACAATATTTTAACTTTATAATTATGTGCTTTACTGAGATATAACATATACAGAGAAAAGTATACAAATTATGAATGCAGAGCTTGATAAATTATGACAGATTTAACATAGCTTATGATCATTATGCCAATCAAGAAACAAAACATTACCAGCATTTCAGAACCTCCAATGGCACCCCTCCCATCTCTTCCCTCATACTTGTCCGAAGAGGAAACCCCTATTCTGACTTCTATCATCACAGATTAGTTTTGCTGGTTTCTGAGTTTGGTATATCAATGGAATTATACAACATGTACTCATTTGTAGTTCTCTCTCTCTTTCTTTTCTTTTTTTTTACAATAAAACCCCACTATATCTTATTATCCTTGTTGTATATAACAATATTTGTTCATTTGGATTATTATATAATTTAACATTGAATGATTGTACCACAACCTATCCTGTCAATTGCTGATGGACATTATCTTTTTTTCAGTTTGTGGTTCTTCCCAAAAATGCTGCTATGAACCTTTTTATACCTGTCTTTTGGTTCACAGATTCATTTACATTGGAAATAAATCTATGAAAGGAATTACTGTATGATAAATATGTGTGATTTCAGTTCACATAGATATTTCCAGAGAGTTTTTGAAATTGTTACACCAATTTACACTTCCACTGGTACTGTATGAGAGTTCTTATTGCACTATATTCTTGTCTATGGGCAGTCTAGTGAGTGTGCTATGGTGTATCATTTGGGTTTTTTTTTCTCTTCACTCATATTTAGCTTTTTTAAAAAAGTGCTTTTCAGACAAGAGTTGTCATTTGTTTTCCCAGGGTTAATGGACTTTAAAGGCAGAAAGTTAAGAAAACAGGAGATGCTAGAAGTTAGTCAGAAGACAGCAGCAAGAAGTGATTGTTGGTAGACACTCAAAGGGAAAGAGATATAGAAGCACTATTCAAAATTGAATTTAGAACATAAATACTACTCTGTTTGGGTACTCAGTGCAAGGACAAGAAATCCTCAAGGTACTAATTGTCCTCAAAATTTTAATTGCATATTATAATTATTTAAGACCTATCTTTATCAAGAGAAGTTAACTTCTGTTTATGAAAAAAATAAATATATATTACAGAATTATTAACCCAGAAAATATATTACATTTAAAAAGTGTTAGTCCTCAATGAAATAATATAATTATGTAGAAAATTCACATATGTAAAATCTCATTCATGACAAATTGGTGTTTGCCAGAGGGGAAGGGAGTCAGGAGAATGAGTGAAATAGGTGAAAGGGATTAAGAACTGCAAACTTCCAGCTATAAAATAAATAAGTTACAGGTATGTAATGTACAGCATAGCAAATTTAGTCAATAATATTGTAATAAATTTGTCTGGTGACAGAGGGTAAATAGAATCACAGTGGTGCTCTCTTTGCTATGTATATAAATGTTGAATCACTATGTTGTACACTTGAAAGTAATATAATATTGTATACTAACTATACTTCAGTTAAAAATTAAAAGGAGGGACTTCCCTGGTGGTCTAGTGGTTAAGACTCTGTGCTTCCAGTGTAGGGGGCCCAGGTTCAATCCCTGTTCAGGCAACTAAGATCTCATATGCTGCACAGCACAGCCAAAAAATAAATAAATTTAAAAAAAATTAAAAGGAAAAAAAATCTCATTCCTGGATATTGCTCTATGGATATAACATTGCGTTAATTATACCCTAATTTTTTAACAATATGTGTTCTTTTATATCTAAAATTGTAATGATCACTCACTTTATTTTTTAAACAATTGTATTTTTTATTGAGTCAAATAACAAGATCTGATTATTGTTATGAAGTTGGAAGATATAAAAACAAATTTTTTTCAAAAATTATTCATGTTTTCACCAACCAGAGATATTTATTGCTAGCATTTTGGCCTATGTCATTCCTAGTCTTCTCTTTTCCCCCTACTTTTTATTGAAATATAACATTTCTATAGAAAAGTTCATAAAATAAAAGTAAACAGATCAATTAATTTTCACAAATTGGATGTATTTGTGTAACCAACAACCAGTTAACAAACAGAATATTATAACCAATTAGAAGCCCACCCTTGCACCTTGCTC